TGTTTCAGCCCACATGAATGTCTTTCTTACTTGTGGCAACATGGAAACCAAAAGCCATGACATAACCATACTATTTTCTTGGTTCCACCTATCATATTCAGCACTTCCACCCTTCGGTTCCTTCACTTTCCCATTAATGTATCCTATTTTTCCCCTAGCTGTAATGTAGAGTTTTATTCCCCTAGACCACTCAAGGTAGTTTAGTCCATCGAAGGGGATTACAGTCATGGGAAAACTCATATCCATTCCCCCATTCAGTCCATTATGGTTTCCTGAAACCCCCGAAGTAGCAGAATTCTCCGATGACATGGTCAAAACATACAATCAGTGCCAAACACCGGACTTAGGATCCCTCCTTACTCCAAAAACAAAATTGCTCCACACACGTACTCAGTCCACACCCACACACTTGGGTTTGAAAACAGTCTGAGCACAAACAGTACCAATTTCTGGACAAAAAAGGCAAGATTCGGCAGATTTCAGACCTGTACGGTTTAACAGTCCCAACCTACCAGCCTTTCAGAATGTCTAAGAACATTAATCATCAGGAGAGATCCTTAACACTTATAATCAAGCCAAAAAATTGAGATAACAGGTCGTCCTTGACCTACAGTCACCTTAACACAGGAACAGGATCACACGATCCCAAAAAACAAGAATTATAAACCTCACAAAGGTCTGACAGCATTCAGCTGCCCAGATTCATTTGGTTTTTTCACTTGGTACACGACCAAGGAGGGTAAGGAAGAGAAAAAAGGGAGGACTGTACCAGTTGTAGATCTGTTTTCTTCATCCCCGATTCAGATCTCTGTTCCGCTCAGATTCAGCAAGTTGGAAAAGGAAGGAAGCTTGTTCAATCTGTTGTCTCAGTCAGTATTCCTGCTCTGATACCATCTTGACAGTGTGGCCAGCCAGAAATAAGAGAAAGAGAAGAGAAGAGAAGAAGAGAGAAGGGAGAAGAGAAGAGAAGAGATTGGCAATGGAACAGTGCTGGCGGTGCCAGCTTCTATTAGTATATATAGGGTGACTAAAATAAAAGGGGAAAAGACCCTTGTGCCCTCTGTAAGTGAAGTACAATAATCAGAAAAATAAAAAAGACATTAATCAACCAAACAGACCCTACCAAGAGCTGCATGACCTGGCCTCTAAGGCCTCATTATCTCTAAGCCCTCTATGGAGTTCAAAATACCAAGAGAGGTGAGTGCATTGTAGGAAGATATAAACCAGTTTAAAGTGAGATTTTGTATGAAGACACAGCACAATCTATGGAACCTATGCATCAAAGGAGTCTCTCCTCAGAAGAGATCCTCCTAGAATCTTATCATATTACCGTTCCTTGGGTATTATCTGTTGAACTGTTAAAAAAATGTCAGGGATGGAGTGGATGAATTTCCAAGGTGAAGCCAAAGTAGTTCTAGCTACCAGGTTTGCATCCTATCCATTGGTATGAAGACCATGGGTACTTCTGATTACCAAGTGCCACTACTTGTCAGAATTGACAGGAAATCTCCACAGTCATTTGACCAACAAAGAAGTATTTTTCAAAGCTAATCTACCCATCCAAAGCCTACTTTATTCTTTATTTTTGCACCCTATCCCTCAATTGATTAAACTATCCTTTTTCTTTTCAGCCCCCTAGTTCCTAAAGGAAATTCCTCATAATTTTTCAGTGTTAGCGTAGGGGTATTTCTGTCTTTATACCTTGAGTAAGGGCACATAGGTCTTTTCAGTCATGTTTAATAATAATATAAATACTTACTGGCCGACTGGGAGAAGTCAAGTTGACTCTTTCAGTTCGAACCAGAATTCTCTCTTCTCTCTTTCTCTCTTTCTCTCTTTCTCTTTTTCTTTATCACTTTTTCTTCTTCTACATAGCTGAACTCAGTCCGGTCGAACTCTAAGGCAGACCTGAATTTTAACATTCAGGATCTTAATCACCTTTATGGGCACTTTGAAATTGAGGATAAAAACACATCAGGAGGTTGAAAACTTGATTTTTTAATTGAAAGATATGATTTCTCTTCCAAGAGGCTGATCTTTTAGTGTATCTCTCAATTTTGGGGCCCTAGAAATATAATGATCTAGTGCTTCTTCGTAAAGGTAACCACAAATAATTTATTGGCTAAAAAGAGGTTGAACAACCTAGGATAGCAGAGTATTTTTCCATGGTTTCATTCTCTAGGTTTAATCTTGCCAAATTGCCTTTGTCAATCTTGCCAAAGGATTTACTTCTCCTTACTCACCCCAATCTTGGCACAAAATCTTGATGCCATCAGAAAATTGGAGGTTGGAGGCAGGTATTTTCTCCAAGCCTACTCTAAACCCCTAATTAACCCTACCGTATCTGATTTTAATGCATCTATTGAATACATCTGCCAGAGGCATGAATAGTAAGGGTGAGGGGGGATCTCCTTGTCAGAGACCACACTTAACTAGGAATCATTAACCAAGATAGAGTAGTATGTTTCTTAATAGAGCACCTAATCCAAGATCTCCATTTATTTCCAAAGCCAAAATTTTGAAGCACCCAATCTAAGAATGACCAACCAACTCTATCATAGGTCTTTTCTAAATATGATTTACATACAAATCCATTGTTGCTAGTCATTACCATCTCATGGAACATATGTTGGCTATACTAATCTGTTTTATAATTTGTCTCTCTTGTACAAAAGCTCCTTGATGGGGGGGGGAGGGGATATGAGACAGTTAAAAACCTTTCTTAAACTCATAGACAGAACTTTTTTATGTTTTTCTTTGATAAGTAACCATCAATTTTATTAATTATGTAAACAAATACGTACAAGTATACAAAATATTCAAAAGAGCATAAAAAATTACTCTCTCCCCAAAATAAAACGTTAAAGCTGAGCCAGAAAAACTTATTCCTAGATACCCTTTGTTTAGATAATGCAACAGTGATGCAATTAGCCGGTCTTTTATGTTATGTTATAGAAGCTATTGTCAAGCTTATCAAAATTCCTTGGGTGACACAATTCTAATTTATTAGGAACTAGTGTTATGAAGGTTGTATTCGTACCAGTATTCACTATTCTCTTTAAGTGAAATCTATCAAAAGCCCTTAATAAATCAATCTTGATTATCTCCCGATCTTCTTGATAAAATCCTATTGAAATACCATCTGACCTAAAGGATTTATTTCTGTCCATCTGGAAGATGGCTCTGAATTCCCTCTTTCTCAAAGGCCTTTCCATATTTGATACTGGGTATGCTGACATTTGAATGATTCCCAGCCTTCAACATGCATTCTTGGGGGGGGGGGCGCATTCTATTCCTAGCAAGGTTTTATTTTTTAAATTGTTAATTGGGTCTATTTCAATTTCATCTGGTGATGTTAAATTGTTAATTGGATCTATTTCAATTTCATCTGGTGATGTTAAATTGTTAATTCAACATCATCTATTACTAGTCTAAATAGAAATTCTTTCTATTTCAGCTATGACAAGGAGTGAAAAGATGTGGTTCTGCCATCTCCCTTTTTAATATATTTGCATTTTCATCTTGGTTTCTACTTTGAACATATCTCCTCTCCTTAATGATCAAATCATATTGCTCTTTCAAGTGCTATCTTCTGTCCTTATCATATTCATTTCATTTGAAGTTCTGTCAACCTCAATATTGTGTCTAATTCCTGAATTTGTGCTTTGATTATTGTTTTCTCCCATTTACATTGCCAAATTTCTTTCCATACTTTCATCTTAGTTGCAGTTTCCTACAAAATTTGAAGCCCATACATTCACCTTCCAGAGATTTAGTCCACCACTCATGGGTTTTGGGGTTGGTGGGGTGTGGAGACTCTCCACAAGAACTGAAGTGCTAGCAGTTTTCCATGGTTTAAGTGGGTAGATAACTAAGCTTACGAATTGTAATGGTGGAAGGTGATTCAAAGATGGTGGTTGGATGGCTGAATGGTTATAGTCTAGGATGATGACAATACAAAATACTATGAGGGAGATAAGTCAGTTGGCAAGGGAATTAAATGCAGAACTTTTCTTGGCTTCAAAGATCTGGGAACTCTTTGGGATCGGTGGAGGATTGCCAGCCTATAATGGGGGATGCCTGGGATCTTTTATATATTTCATTGTTTTCATGATATAACAATGTTTAACAGTTTTCTACCAGAAAAAAAGGATTGATGTATGAACCACATGTTCTCAAAACTTAACAAAGTCGGTCCACTTTGACTCTATCAATAAATCAAAGGCATGGGATATCCACATCTTCAAGAAGATAGGTTAAATTGCAGGAATGGAGTTCTCCTTCCCAAGGAGCAATGAAACTGAATTTTGATGGGTGCTGAATTTGAAATCTAGGAAATTCAGGCATAGGAGTAGTTTAAAAGTTTTTAGGAATTCTGATGGAAACATTGTTTATGTCTATTTAAGTGTGACTGGACATGGGATGGCCATTGTAGTAAATATTCTCTCTTATTGGACTGATTTTAGTGGTTTCTTTGGATTTCCAAAGATTAGAAGTGGAGGGTTACTTTAAGGTGGTTTATTAGCTGGCTGAAATGTGAAGAAGACCTTGGAAAATGAGATATATTCCATTAGAGAAGCATGAGCGCTTGCATCTAGAGTGAAAAGCTCATTCATTTGGATAAGGAGATCTGCTAATTCATCGGCTGATAGTTTTGCTAGGTGAAAGTTCAGAACGGGAGCTATATTGGGGGAATTCTATTCCTTGAGGGGTGGTTTCATTTTGGGATTTGATGTACATGTAAGGGATTGGTAATGAGGAATAGTCTTCGAAGAAGAATGGGTTTTAGTACACTTTTGGGCTATAATTTTCTCTGTTTATTGTCTTTGTATTGTGTTTCAAGAACTCTCTATAGTCTAATGAAGTTTTATGTTATTAATCAAACAAAAAATAAACGGTTTATTTGTAGAAAACTTTTTGCATTTATATTTTACAACAGTCTTCATAACATTGATTTGTCTGTGAACTAATAATGCTTTATTTACTTATTTTGGCAACAGGGATGCTGGTTTCATTACCAAGAATATGGATATTACAATTAGAGAAGTCATTGTGAACCTAAATGAGGACTTGCTTCTCAGAAAAAAGACTCCATCAGAAACCTTTCTTCAGGCAGATACAATTGGAGAACCTATTGTGGACTCTGGACCAGCTAAAGATTCACAAAAGAAACAAAAAGCACTTTTGTCACTTAAAAAGCACACTATTGTGTTTCCAGAAAAGGTTAGTGGACCTTTATGTCAAACTAAGATGAGATAGTGTATACTGCTTGTCCTTCCAGCCATGTTCACCTTATGGCTTAAGTTCTTGAATCTTGCCTTTCAGCAGTTCTGTTATTATGATTTAGTTGTTGATATAATTTCTAAATTTCTATTTGATCATTTCTTGAATTATAATCCTTTATGTTTGTACCTTTTGAATTAAGTAAATCTTCCCACCCTTTGAGATATGGACCATGTCGCTGTGGAGTCTAACTTCAAAGATTTAGCAGGGAACTAGTGGTAGCCTTTCTTTTAATGGATGGATGGACCAGAATTTCAGATTTTATTTTTATTGATAAATATAAAATTATTTATTAATGAAAGAAAGTAAAATGTGCAAAATAGAATGGGTCTTAAAACAAAAAAACAAGCTCAACTTATCAAAAACTGTCATCTATAGTTGACATGTAGGGTATGGATAAAACACTAGGCTGGACTTGCTTCATCATGAAGTCCAGCGAGAAATGTTTGTTAAAGATTAAACTGCACTAAGTGGCAATTCCTGAATAATTTCATTCTAGGGGAATAATGAACAAAAGTATAAATTTCAAATTCATAGCTCTTATTTTTAAGGAATTTTGGGTCCTTACTCTAGAAAAAAAAGAACCTGTAGTCATAGGTTCTAGGAAATTTAGACTGATCAGCCTGATTTGGAGTTGCTATAGGATTATATCCAAATTCCTTTTGATGAAGACCTAAGAAGTGTTGAAGTTATTGTAACCCCATGAGATTTTGTCTAATTGATTATTAAAGTTAAAAGGGACTTAGACAAAGGGGGATGCTATTGCATTTTATTTATGCTCCTCTAAAAGTTGTTCTGAGTAGATTAATCTATTAAATGTATAAGCACAATCTGTATAGAGGTTTTAGGGTCAGAAGGGGAAGATTAGTTCTCTACCATCTAAAACTTGCAGGTAAGGAATCTGAGAAGTATCATTAATTAACTCAAGAGGATTTTGATACTTGAAAGTTTACCTAATAAGAGTTTATTGTTGAATAAATCTGGATTATAGAGTTAAGTATTTGTGCAGTGATTATGAAGTGCGAAACATTTGAATGGCCCCTCAAATATCTTAATATCTGCCTTGGAGGTACCCTAGGTCAAACACTTACTGTAATACCATGATTGAGGTTTTAAGAAATTAGTAGGATGCAAAAAAAATAAAGATCTCCTTGGGAGTATGGTTCACTTCATATATCCAATTCCATTAGTATGGTTGTGTGTGAGTATATATATTTGTAGTTTTCAAAGTTCAGTGAAGGTGAGGTGATTATGGGGATGAAAAAGAAGAACTGAGAACTAGGTGACTCAAGTTGTTGTCAAAGAAGAATGGCAGTGCATCACTTCTTGTTGGTTTGGTGTGTGGTTTTATATGCACATATGCACGAACCATCTTAATCTCTCTAGAAGCTGATGGCAGATGCTGCTTCTCCTGTGATTTGTAGAATAAGGGGATGAGAGGGTCCGGGTGGTGGGGTCTTCTCTAATCTTTAGTATGGAGGTTCAAATGCTGGGTTTCAGTGGGATGGTAGCGTCTTCATTACTCAGAAATCAGAGTTTTGTGTGGAGCACTCATGTTATTCATCCTGTTGTTGGGATTTAAGACCCTGGTGATCCTTAATTTTGGTTGAAAGACTTTCAACTGTTACCAGCTTATTTTGGTGTTGGATGGAGTTGGTGAGTACTGTGAGAAGTCCTGAAAGTTATGCTTGGTGGTAGGTGAGAGTCTTTGGGATCCCTTGTAATGCTTGGTCTTTCTCCACCTTCATTGAGATCCGGAGTTCCCTTGGTGGTTTCATTGAGACAGATACAGCCAATCTCAGGTGGAGGAATATGAAAGCTGTGAGGATTTTTATTTGGAACAAATCATTAGTAGTTATCTGTAAACCAATTTCATTGGTTTAAAGGAAACCAATTTTTTAAGAACAATGGTGGAAAGGAGGATGGGTTTTGATGACAGATACCCAAGAGGAGGGATTTTCATTTCAAGTTCAGAAGAGGGATAGGTCCTTGAAGCAAAGCTCTTTCCAAGTAGCAGCAAGAATGAAGTCCTTACTTAATGGAGTTGCTCCCTGTGCATTGTTTCAAGAGATGGAGGATATCTCAGGCCAGCTGAGGTCACAGGAGGTCTTGGAGTTAGTAGAGAAGAAGGCTATTCAGTTTCTGGTTTTGCAAATCTCTGGAAAGTGATGTGTTGTCTGTGTATCTTGCACCAACCTCACATGGTAAACCACCAGCAGGAGTGTAAGAGATCCCAAGTGAGGTCACTGTTGAAAAGGTTTTAAATGTTAGTTCTAAAAAGTGTGAGATGGACCTCAGTTGTGTTCTATTGTGTTGGTTGACCCAGCCAGGCCTCATGAACTAATGTTCTTTTAATCACTTTGAAGGTCTGCACTCTAAATCTAAATTGATTGCAGTGGTCTCAGTTAGGCCTGTTTCAGATAGGGTTGCAAAAGGGTCAAATCAAATTTGGATAGTGGAATATCTGAATTTGATTTGACAAAGAATACCTAATAATCTGGATTCGGTTTGATATCAGATGGATATAAAAAATGAATTCGAATTTGGTTTGATAAAAATAATCAGAAATAATCCCAATTCAATTTTGTTATTCATATATACTTAAAAAGATTCAAGAGCAAACAAACCTAAAAAAATCCTTACAAAATATGACATAATAAAAATAGTTAAAGGGTGTTTTGACACGAGTAAAAGCAATCCAAATCAAGGATAATATTTTCATATTTCCTACACCGAGCTTAAGAGCATAAAAGAAGCCATACAGAATCTGTAATCACCACAATCCCCAAAACAAGAGGTCAGGAATCTTCTTTCAAAACCAATATCCATCTTAGGTTCCACCCTGACCAAAGAAGTTAGAATTCCATTTCTTCAGAGATGAAATTACATAGCTCTAAACACACACACACACACACACAAAACCATTGATATATTGAGATAAAAACTTCTAGGATTGAAGGGTTATGGGGCACTAAAAAACCAGCATTCCAAACTGCCTAGAAATCCTTTGCTTCTAGGAAATTCAATATTCCAACTACAATATTGACAAATGTTGAGAGAAAATCTTCCAAACTCTTGCTATAGTGGGTGAGGGTTGGTGGCTGTTCCAAGTTAACAGCTTCCTCTCAACAAAAGAAAGTGAGGAAAATCATGAAATGATGGTGCCTAGCCTCAACCAGACAGGTTTTCTTCTTATCAGCTCTCATGTTTTCAACTCAACCATCAAGTGGTAGGACCCATGATAGAGAAAAAAAATAAGATAGGTTTTCTCCAGATAGGAAGACCAGAAAGAAAGAAGAATGATAGAGAAAAAAAAAGAAAATTTTATTAAAAATAAAAGACCAGGTCAAATACAAGTGCCTTCCAGGTATTAAGATAACACCCGACCAACATACAGAAAAAACAAGAACAAGAGCACAAAAATAAGAGGGAACAAAGTAAAGCCCCCGAACACTGCATCTTAACCATGTTCTTCAAACAGATCATCTTTCTCATCTCAATCCTTCTCCTCTACCACCGATTTCTCTCCCTTAACCCCCTAACCTTTCAAACATTCCAACTCAACAGATTCCTCCTCATCCCTCCTCTCAACTTGGCTACATTACAAAACATTGCAGTCACCCTTCTGCTTAGAATTGGTCCTCCCCCCCCCCTCTCAACTTGGTTTCATTTCAAAACACAATAATCACTCTTCTACTGTGGCTTGGTTTTCCTCCCCCTTCTCTCAACTTGGATTCATTTCAAAACATTGCAATCACTATTCTACTTTGACTTGGACCTCCCCCCCCCCTCTCGACTTGGCTGCGATTCCAAACATTGCAATCACTCTTCTGCTGTGGTTTAGTCCTCCTCCCCCTTCTTCGTTCCAGCTTTTTTCTTTTTTTGCTTCTCCCTTCTCTTTTTTTCAAGTTGTTCAAAAGCAATTCTGGCGAAACCTTCTCCCCCAGAAAACTAGCCCTAGAGATTTCCCTACTGTAACCTCTGGGTCAACTATCTTACTCAGCTCCAACTTCCTTTTTTCAATTACCTTATCCCTTCCTTTCTCAGGCTCCCCCTCTGCTTCCTTTTCTCCAACTACCTCTCCTGAACTTACTGTTTCAAACCCCGTCTCTGCTAACAGCTCCTTCTGCCTCACTCCTCTGGCCTAACCCCGAGATCCTCCTCCTATTATAAACCTTATTTTGCAAAATACTGTCCTCTGTCTCCCCCTGCCGCTTCCTCTTCTTCTCACTTCCTCGTTTATCACCAGCCTGATCTTTCTTCCTTCCAACTGCACCTTCTTCTTTCCTTGAGAGAATAGAACTACAAAGAGAGGGGTCAATGGAACTTACATCTTCTGAAATGGTCATTTCAACGACATATTCGGGCTGGGTTGTAGCCTCTAATTGTTTCTCTACTATCACTCCTCTATTCTTTTGTGAATTCCCAGCAACTAAACAACCATCATCTCTAAATTTCTCACTTTCGGCTGGATGTGTCGAGTTCAATGCCTGTTCCTGCCGACTCGTGTTCAACTTCTTTGGGATTTCGAGGCTTTCTTCAACCTCTCTTTGGTCTGAAACCTTCTCCCATAAATCTCCTGATTCTTTGCTTTGCACAAAAGAGCCAAACTCTTTTTTCTTCCTTTTCCCTCTTTTGACTTATTTCGTTACTTTCCCGTCCTTCCTGAACTTCGTAATTACCCAAACCCACTCATCCCTCCCCGCTTTTCTCTTCGAGCCTTGGAATCTTGTGGACTTGAACTTCTTTTTTCCATTCAAGACCTTCCTTTTTTGCACGCCTAAGCTCGTGGAGTGTGTTTTCTTTGAGTTTCTTGCATTACTATGGACCCCACTTAATAATACCTCCCTAACGCCTTCCTTTCAGAGTTTTCTCTCCAATTTCTCCTTGAACTTGTTCTGCCCTTTCATTTACCCACCCCCTCATAACTCCCTTTTCCATGTCAGACGCATTTGCCTTTTCCCAAAGAGAGCTCTCCATCTTACCCTTTGACAATTCATCTTCCCCTTTCTCTTCCTCTCTCAGCTGTCAGTTCGACTCCCCCTCCCCTGCCTCCTTCCCTTGCTCCGGCTGAGAGTGTTGATCCTTTTCCTTCCCCCAATCAACTTTAGTTGGGTTTCCATTACCTCTCCGACTGAGAAACATGAAATCTTCTCCCTCCGTCAGCACCCTTAGCTCGTATAGTTCACCTGCAAATTTCAAGTTCATGATATTTGGGGTGTCTGCAATTTCCTCCACTGCCACCAATATCCTTGCCAGGTCCAGCCTGTCCCAAGATCTCTTTTTGTCGTCAAACTTCAAGAAATCTCCATGGTGGTTTCCTATCACCTCAAAGGTTTCTAAGCTCCATGCATGTAAAGGAATTCCAACCATGTCAATCCAAACAGCTCTCTTCTTTCTCAGTGTTGACAGAGCCCCTGCCGCCGGAAACCACCAGTCTAAGCGAAGGTCAATCTCTCTCTCCTTTGCCAGTTCCCGGCTTAGTATGAGCTTTTCCAACTCCTTGCTATGGAACATGAACAGAAATAAATCTCCATTCAGCTTCCTTACTCCCATCAATTTCTCTTTCCCCCATTCTAACACCGCCCAGAATTCCACCTTTTTGACTTCTAAATCTACCCAACAAACCTTCCTACTAGGCTTGCTTCCAATAGACGCATTCTCTCATCCATCTTCCCTAGTTTTTGAACGTCTACTTCGATATGTCTCACCATCTCTATATTGATGAATCATCTACTGTCCCCTCATTGGCTAATGATCTTAGCACAACCAAGATTACTTCTAATCTTAATCTAGTTTTCCATGAGAGGGCGAAGAATATTGAAGTACATTGTCACTTTATTTGGGATCTCCTTACTACATACCACATCTCACTTCCTCCTGTTTCTTCTAACCTTCAATTGGCGGACATATTCAGAAAAGCTATGGCAAGAGACAGATTCTTTATGCCCCATATGCTACAAAAGATAATCTCCCTATCCCTTTTGTCCCTTTTTCCTTTATTCCTTTTTTTCTTTTATATTTAATATTGTATTTCCTTATGAGTGAAACCCCAATATAGTCGATCCCTATTGACCTCTTGTCTTGTTAGTCCATCCACAATGGAATTTATCGATCTATCTATCCATGTCAAAGTGGCTGTCAGCTCCCTTGCTAATTGTTTATTTTCTTTAATATATGCCTATGGCATCAAGGTCCTAGACTGTTATTCTGCATCCATCCAATGATTATCCTTGAGTTCTCTTCAACAATGAAGTTCCTATAATTGAGTGTTCTTCCTAGCTTTAGTCCTTGCAACAATGCAAATAGCTATGCCTTGATCAAATCTCCTTGACCAATGATACCTGTATATATTGTTAAGATGTCTACTTTATGGTTTCTAAAAACACCACCTACTCCAGATAATCCTGGTTTGCCCCTTTAATAGATATCATGTACCTTTTTCAAAAAAAAAAAAGTCCATTACCCAATGTTGGTCCTAGCTATCTGAGGTATTGGGAGGGTAGATTGGATAAGGACCTAACCTTTGTTTTCTATTTATTTAGTTTTTTCACACAAAATAGTTTGAGCTACCTAAACCACTAGAGCTTCCACTGGAAGCATTAGAGGTAGCAGTAGAATCAGAAGGGGTAAGAGATAACCTTCCTAGGCGTTCTTAAGAGACTTATTGGTGAATAGCGTTTATTTTGATCTAGTGTATACGTTGGCTGACAGGATGCTTTACAGTTTGACATGTAAGAGGCCAAGTTATTGAATTACAAGTTTTCACTTTTCAGTAATATGTATTTATTTTTTGTTTTTATAGGGGCTAACATACATTTTGTCTATCTGGGAGTGGCAAAGGTTTTTCTTGGGTTGCAATGTCTAAAAAGATTTCATATTTATTTTTATTTTCTTCAATACAGTTTTAATCACTAGCAAAAAAAAAAAAAAAAAACTTCTTAGTCTACTTTCTCTCATTTTATCACCTATTACCTCTACTCCTATATTCCTATGAATACACTCATTTGTAATTTAATCCTTTCCATCTTTTCCTTTCATCCATCAGGACATTTTTGATCTACTTATTTTTTTGACATGTTTCTTTCTATGTTACACTTTCACTTCAAAATGGGCGCTGGACCCATGTTGGATGTGTCTGGAGACTGACATCGACTAGCACTCAAGGGCAGTCTTCTTTTTGTCATATCTGTAATATGTGACTAAAAACCTCAAACTTTTAGGGGGAAATTTGGACATGAATGGTAGATATGTAATGCATGATAATTTAGTATAATTGCTCTATTTGCTTATTGTTGCTTGCACTGATTTTTGCATCTAGGTTTAGTATTTTTATTTTTCAACAATTATCCCATTATTTATATACCATAAAAATTTATCATTAAAAGTGTAACTGAAAACTAAGTGTAGCAGCCGAATCCCTGAATCTTATCTTCATAGGCTCCTCAAGTCTGACAACTCATACTTGTGTAAGATTCTGAAGCTTGTTCCAGTTTCCGTGTATACAGCATTGATGGCCTTGGCATCTTAGTTACTTTTAACCTGTTTGCCACTATCCAATCACACAACACTTTGGATGCACCTTTCCATTTCATTCACCTAGTTTTAGTTGTATAGTAGACATCCTCTAAAATATTTCCACTGTCTTGGATTATCAAATTAAGGTAATGGAAATTGTAGAACATTGAAAATTAACATATTCATTAGAAAAAAAGGAAGAAAGAAAAGAAAATTCAGAAAATATAGGGGATGAGCCCCTTCTTTCGTCCTAGGAAAAGAGGAAAGGAAGGGTGGAATGTGTTGATTGGGCAAAGATTTTTAGTTCTTCCTTGCATATCAGTTTAGGTTTTGAAGGGCTCAAGACAGCATAAACCAACATGTATGTTTATTGAACCCTGACAAATAAGAAAATAATAAAAGGAAACTAGTATGTAAACCTACAAAATGAATAATTTAGTGTAATAATGCCTATTTTATTTTATAATCTTAAAAAAAAATAAAGGATATATAAATATTTTGTAGTGCCATGTATAAAATGGCTAGGTAATTAAGTAGGGCAATCCCCATGGGCACCTTGTTGCCTTGAAAACTATGCTTTAGATCAATGGATATCATAATATGATCTCTCTTCTCTTTAAACTTTTCTATCAATCACCTATGAAAAGTTGTACCTTCCATGATAGTCATCTCTGGGGATGAAGCCAAGCTACTCTCCTGACGTGGATGTTTTATTTTGTATCTTTTGCTCCATAACCATATCTCAAAGTTTCATGACTCATACCGTATGTTTTGTTCAAATTCTGTTGGGAGGTCAAGTATTTAGAAAATTGCAATGTTTTCTCTCATTTGGTGTATTTGAAAACAAAGTGTAAAAGAATATGTATTGGTTCTGTGATATCACTACCTCAGAAATGTAGGGGTGTTTTCCATACATCTTGGACTGGGGTTGATGCTTAAAGAATATAGAACAATCTTTACTTTACCCCACCTCACAAATTTTTATTTGTTTTCTGATTTTATTTGCCAAACCCCTCACCTATGATACAGTACCCTCCTTGTATTGTGTTAGATTGCCCTACCTGTCAATGTTCTCAACTGTACAAACAGATAAAAATTTATGAGGTGGGGGAATCTGAAAATTTGCTTAGAATATAAGACATGAGGAAATGGATTTTGACAGATTGGATGATATGTGAAGCATTGGTATTGTATTTTTTGTACATCTTTTCTCACTTTGTAACTTTTATGTAGAAGAAATTATATCCCTTTCACTTCTACATATTCTTGCACATGTTCTAATAAATAAGCAGCCCATAGTTGAACAATGGATATAGCACTGAACAGAGCAGAAATGGCTAAACAGGATTCATATAGCCAATCCCATATAGTTGAGACAAGGCTTTTATGATGATGATGATGAGGATTATAATAAATAAGCAAGATTATCCACACTAACTAGTAAAACTGTACACGAATATGGTTGCCCTGACTACCATGAGTATGTTACATCAAAAGGGGCTTAGTGTTTAAAATTAAAATTGATAATGCACTGGCCTCCATATGATGCAACAGGTTTGACCAAGTATGACTAGTATTACTCTTACTAAATTTACTTGGTTTCTAGTAAAAAATTGATTGAAATTCCATTTCTATACTTTAAATGTTCTACTTCTAAATTTTTAAAAGATACATTGTAACAGTAATTTTATCTCTGCTTTAAGTCATCAGAAAATTACTCAATTTTCCTTGTTTTATACACTGTACTCCATTAAGATTTGAAGGTTTTACTGATTGTCAAGTTAACAATGATAAAATTATCTGAATTTTTTGACCTTGTTTAAGCAATTAATTAACAAAAAGAAGTATTTTTCTCTGGAAGGTTAGCTTGAACTTACCAAAACTGGATCTGAGATTTGTGCACCGTGGGCAAGATCTTGTTGTTGAGAATAACATAATGGGAATTTACCTGAGAAGCAACAAATCACAGTCCAATGAAGATATGGGGGAGAGCACGCATTTTGAAGTTCAAATGGGTTTCAGTGAACTTCATGTATCCAATTTCTTATTCTTAGAATTTCTTCTGGTTATTTCTGCATATAAGTTACAATGAAGGTTTTTTTGTCAATTTTACTTATCTCTCAATTGAAATTTCAGATTCTCAGGGAAAGTGGGACCTCTGTCTTGGAGATACTGAAATTTGCTGTAGTTTCTTCTGTTTATGTTCCAGTACAGGTAATCCTTCAGTCTTGCAATTAGTAGAGTATCAATACGGGGTTATCTGCTTCATTTGGTTGTGGTCTAATATCTTGACTGTAGTAGCAAACTAGCAATAGATCTTTGTATAAATCAATTCATGTTGATTACCATGAATATGTATGAGCATGAGAGTGAATAAATCTAGATAATATGTGCCAGCATAATGTGTACGAGAGAGGGTTTGCAGTCCCTGCCTTGTACCCAAACTATACACTTATATCTGAACAATTCTAGATTTAAAAGATTTCAGCTTCCAAAGGCTATTTTTCCACGAAAAGTTCTAAATGGTGTGTATTGAGTTGAAATTGAATGGGGAAATGAGCAGAGAAATCACAGACCATTCCTTAACTGAATAATGGTTAGTACTAGTCACATCATTTCTCCAAGTGGCTGAGATAGGTAGGCCATCTAGAGGATCACCTTTACATAATCCATGTGCACAGAAGATGTTCACTGTTTTGGCATTTTATTCCGTGAGAGGTGCTGTAGCTTTAAAGTCCGAATCCATTTGTTCTTTCAATTATTTAACAGATATTGGCAGCTATCTGGATACATGTTTTTCTGTTTTATCACCTCTCTGCCATATCATGTGTTTCACAGTATTGTTCTTTTGTTGAATGAATATATTAAAGTTTTATGAAGAAAAGGAAGAGCTACATTGAAAAGGCACCCAAATGAAAAGGGCAGGGAAGGTACAAGAACAAGAATTACAGTAACAGAAAAAGAAAAGAAAAGAAAAGAAATACACACATGGATCAGTCTATCATTATAATAACCAAATGTAACTCAGTCCTAACACATCCCCTAGCCAACCTAGCTTCCAGACTCCAGAGAGTTAGCTGACATAGAGATCCAGATGAATGAGCTGTTCACTCTGGAGGCCAAGGCTCTACCTACTCTGATATGATGTCAAAATAACTGGGTCCTGTGAAAAATTGATCATCCATTAAAAATCATCAGAGAGCACACCTTCTCCTCTACTATGAAAATCTCCAATGATATTAGCTCTGTTACCTGTTGTTTCATTCCATCTCTTGTGGTTTGGTCTTTACCCCAAACCAAAATTCATACCCGAGAGGAGATTTATTTCTAGTTTTAAATATTTTATCATTAATGATATGGTGGTAATGTTCTGTGCAAGTGTGACTGCTTTAAATATGTAACTATTTGTTAGCTTGTTGTTTCACATATTTTTGTACAATCCCCTGATAGTATTATATACTTGTCTCTGTATTCCCCCCTCCCCCAACCCTGGTCCTCAAAGAAAAATCTTGTACGTATGTTGACATCTGGATCTATATCTAGAAAATTTACATAATCTCTTTCCTTCCAGCTGGAAACATCTATTAGAGCTGAAATTGATATCAAGCTTGGTGGTGCTAAGTGCAACATCATCACAAGTAGATTAATTCCATGGGTGCGTCTTCACTTGTCAAAAAAGAAAAAAATGGTACTTCGTGATGAAAACTCTAAACTTGAGAAGCCACAGACAACAGAAACCAAGGCCACTGAAACAAAGGCAATCTTGTGGAATTGTAAAGTTTCAGCCCCAGAGATAACTATTGTGCTTTATAGCATCAGTGGTTCACCCTTATACTATGTAAGTTCTGTACTTTGGTGATTGCAATATTGTTTGCTTAGTTACATTGAAGAGATTTTTTGATTCTCAGCCTTTCTTTCTTTCTTTCTTTCTTTTTCGAGGGAATGATCTGCATTGTTTCCCTAATCCTTTTTCTTGGTTATGAAAACAGTAGAAATCTGCTGAATTAAAAAATATGAAAGATAGTAGTTTCTTGAAGAGAGAAGGAAGAGAGAAGGAGAAGAAGAGAAGTTAAAAGAAAAGAGAGCAATAATCTGGCCGCCCCCTTCACTTATTATTTATACTAAAATAATAGAACAGTACAAAGACAACTATGCCCTTATAGGGTGGCAAAACATAAAACAGCATATATAACACTCAAAAAACATAATAAAATTTGGACTCACATAACTACTGTGTTCCCCACCTCCTATCTAA